GAGGGCCGGACTTGATGGTGGGGGCTGCGATAAGGTGAAATAAAGCTCCCTCTGCGAAACGGTATTTGTTGGACTCCCTATATACTACTCGAGACAATCTTCTTCGATCGCAAGTGGCGCAAGCAACAACACAAACGCAAGCCGAGCAAAACTGCTCGTCCAATTATGGGCCGGAATTCACGAGTTGCTGTATAGCAAAGAGTCAAGAACATACAGCGTGGATAAAAATCTGCGAAGAGTTAAACTTTCGCATGATTACTAATTGAGAAATACAGATCTTGTTATGTATATTTCAATCAGTAACGTTTTGGTTCCAGCATGTTGGCCTACTACGACCGCTGCCAAAATTTGGAACTTGCGAAATTTTTGCTAATTTTTTTCCTCGCCAAAAACTGGAAATACTTTAAGCAAACAAAATTGACTCTAGTGCGACCCGGGCCTAATAACCCAAAGAAAGAGAGTTTGAGGATGTGGTTGATAATCCCCAGAAACGGGTCAGAAGTTTGGTTTGTTTTCAGTGTGTCGGTCCTATGCAGATGAAATCACAGTCCCTTTGAATTAAGAATCGTAAGTTACAACTCACCAACAGACACTTTGCTCTCGTTTTGCTGGTTCACTACATCAGCGGCACCTTCATAACTGCAGTCCTCTGGAAAAAAATAAGGTAATACAATCCTCAAGTTTAACCACTTTGTACTTAACTTTGTTGAGAGCAACAAAGTTGAGAGCCCGGAGGGGGATACTGCCAGGAGCCAGAGCCCTGGGGAATACTCCCAGAAAAAATGGGTAGGGGAGGTGCGACCCACTTCCCAAAACCCTTACCTTTTTTTTCCCTACCCCATTTATGACCAGACCAAAAATTCGATACCCTATTTATGAACGTTGCGGCTGGCAGAGTAGTCCTAAACATAATTTACTGATGAAGGGCTTTTGTTGAGGCTCTTATCGTTAATGATGAAAAAGTACCTTCTTCTAAAAAACACAAGCAATTCAAGACTAGAGCACAAAAATCATACTCTATTCATGTCGATACCCTATTTATGAGCAAAGCGGATAAAAAACCATATCCTTTGGGGCCGCACATACCTATAAAGTCCATATAATTGATATAAGGAAGTACCCCCCTCCCGATGTAACATGAAGACTACTGTATGAAAATTTGCGACCTTGGGTCACCTGTGATTTTAATATGTTTTGTTAACGTTCTTCCACCGTGTAATAAGTCCTGAATGAAAGTACTCATCGTGACAAGTCAGACGTCACTAACTGACATTTACACCGTAAGATGTACATGTATAAGACTGGATTTTTGAAAACCGTGTCAATACTTTGCACCAAATGACCCCTAGGCACTTCGATTTCACGAGTCCCAAAGGCCTCAAAATCACTCCAAGCAATGGAAAAAATAGAGAGAAGAGCACCAAAAGGAAGGTAAGAGAGTGGAGCAAAACAAAACTGACATTCATTTGAGTCAGTTTATCGTCTATTTTGGATCGAGATCTGGCGAAGTAAAAACAAAACACAGTCGAGCGGGCGAGCTTTCTGTTTTCACTGTTTTCATAAATACAGAAACATATAATGCCAATCGTATAAACCTTTACCTTACCTCGATTCTCGAAAGCGGAATTCAGCTTTTCTTCCACGTGTGCAACTTGTTGTTGCACATCTTCTTGTTGACACTTAAGACTTTTCAACTGTTCGTGAGTACCATCCATATCGGCTTCCAAGTTATCCATTTTATCCGAGAGAGAACTTTGCTCTTGTTTCATGACTTCTTGTTCATGCTGCACACTCGCAACTCTTGCTCGTAGCTCCTCCAGGCTTGTTGAAATGTACTTTAGTGCTTGTGATACTCGCTTCTTATCCTCCTGTACTTCAAATGTCAACTTCCCCACGTCTGTATTCAGTACATTGACGTGCTGTTGTACCAACTTCAACAGGTCAGCATCCACAGTAGCATTCATACACAGTATTGTCCCTTTAATAACAAGAAAGGAAGCGAACTATTAACGACTCACTAATATGACAACTGTGTAAACGGGAAAAAGAACAGACGGGAGAGGTGCTAAGGGGAAAGTGGGTGGGTCCTAGACCGATGCTATCGACTAGCATTCAATGTAGGAATACCAGCAATAGTTGCCTGGTAAGGTCATAATGCTAGATTTAAGAGTCAAATATTTATACCCATGGCATTCACCTGCAGACTAAACCGTTGAGAAGCTTTTCGACTTCCTTTTAACTGAACTAGAAGACCCCTCCTCCACCAGAAGATAAGTTACTCGAGGACAGACACTTCAACAATATTATCGTCCAAAAAATAAATCTGAGCATTTGACTTTCATAAACTTGAGATCTTTCACTTATGTAACTTGACGCATGTCTGACAGTGGAAAATCTTTTCTCTCGTTGACCTCTTGTAGCAACAATTTACCGATCTGTGATGTGAAGTGCCAGAGACTACAATTAACTACAGCAAGATGGGAAGAATGAAACGTGTTATGGACGTTTGTATATTTGTAGGACGTATTTCTGCATTATAAATTACAATGTTTGAAAGAAAAAAACGTCAGTAAGGAAATCAGGTTTGTACCTTTTGACTCCCAGTCTTTCATTTCTCCTAAGAGATTCCTTTCGATGATGGGTGGCAAAGCCAAGGCCTTCACTAGCGTTTCCATCTTGTTAAAACTATGTTGATAATTCACTGGATCCCACTCACTGAATACACAGTGAGCCCAGGAATTTCTAGCTTGTCTAACATCATTTGCAGCACTCTGTACAGCTGGAGAGAAGACTGGCACTTTACCAAGCAAGGTGAGCACGGCAGATGCATCGCAGTGTTCATCAAAGGCGTTGAACTTAGCCATGTGGTTTTCTACATAGAGCTTGGCAAAGTCAACATGTGATGTCACACGGCAGTCAAACAAGGAGTAATTGAGCCTTCCACCTGGCAGCCTGGGAAATACATCGTTGCCGTTGATGTTCTCATACTTTAAGAATGTTGGCCAATTCTTAAGTCGCCCAGATGTGCTCCGAGTGTGAATATTGTGGCTTGTTTGAAGATTGCCATACTCTCTCTGAACTTCTCGTTCAGCAAAGAAACGTATTTGGGTAACCAGGACCTTGTTGAGGGCAATGCCAAAGACCAACCATCTTTTCTGGTTGTCTGTAACACAATGAAGTGTGGACCTAAAAGAGTTAATGAAACTATTTATTTTAATTTTACATTATTTTGGATAAGAACCACAGAATACCCGGACAAATTATATCGTGGACCAACAACATATAGAGCAATAATTATATGGATTTGAAATATCAAGACTAAAATAAATGTATTGATGGCTAACTTAAACTGAGAATTTAATACAGTCCAGGCTCTACAGAATATTCAGTTGCCAGACAGACAGGCATCAAAGAGTTGAGATTCAGAAGCAGTTGGAATATTGAAGAGGACCTTAAGGCAACAGACAGGCGTGGCCATCCTGGTAAGCTGAAAGTGTGGTGCTTACAGGTTTGCTTCCTTCCCAGACTGACCAATGAGGCCACCACTGGTGTATTGGTGTATTGGGTGACTATGTCCTAATGGTGGAGGCTATGGGACCCAGCAATTGGTAGTTACCTCAGAAAGGGATGGTTGGGTATATAGCACAGCCTGTGATCAGGTTCACCTTTCTGAACCTGCTCGCAAGCTAGGTATACCTACGTCCTTGGCAAATGTGGCCATTTGCAGTTCTGCTTCTAAAATCGAAATCCAAGAAAGGTTTCTACTAGAGGGAGAAAGGCCATAAAAGCCTGGGTAAACAGGTGATCTTGTGATTTAAGACTAGTTCATATTCTCTACTGATAAACCTGAGACAAAGGGGCCAGTTGCAATTGGTGGCTTCATTGAACTCAACTCAACTTAACTTAGCAGGCATGCCAGCAGTCAGTAGCTGCTCCAAATTGCTGTAAGTGACCCAACTCGTGCCTATGTCAGCAGAGTATGTGAACAAAGTTTAAATGTCTGAAACCTAATGTGGAAAGGAATCAGGGCACTGGAAGAGCCTGTAGAGGAGACTGAGGGTCAATAGGCACAAAGTGTAAAGAGATCATTGGAGCTGTGTAGCAGGATTGTTGAAGGCTTGTTTGTAGGAGAAGCACATAGTGGTCCTAGGACAATGATAATGTAACAGGTACTAGATAACATCTTCTTACTTTTAAGTAAGAAGTGGGAGAACTTCAGTTCAATGTAGGGTACACTGGCTATTTGGAAAGCAGTAGCCTGAAGGACCGGCAGGTTGGTTGGACCTTGTGTCCATGGAACCCTTAACATTCAACTTTATGTCCTTGCATGCAGTGACATCACCTCTTTCCTGCCCCTTGTAGGAAATCAGGATCTGTGGGGGAAATCTTTCATGAGTAGTCACATCTTTTGTGAGTAGTGTCAGTAGTCACTACATCAATACCTTGGCTGTATTAAAGGGACACAGTCAGCTTTGGGACCGCGCTGACCTGGACACTAGTTTCCTTACTTTGAAAAGAGTTCACCACAACCTGAAATCAAAGTTACGCGTCGAGTACGTAGAGAAATCCACTTCAATCTTCGCAGTGTTTTGCTCAATTTTCAATCTTAAACTGAAAAACCTGTTTTTGAGTGTGTTTTT